ATGAGGTCCTGGCTGATGCTCGGTGGAGGATGTCCTCGCCAGCCGCTTGCCTCCACGCTAGACGGCCGCGCGCATCTGCGACGCAACCGTAGGATCCACTGTAGGCAGACGGAAAAAGGCACGGAAAAAACAAAAACGCACTCCCTCCCAGCACAAGCTTCTCGGCCCGTAGTGCGCAGTCTGCACGGGTAGTCCCAGGCAGGCCCAGGTGGCTCCCGTGCCCGAACCACCTTGCCCACTGCTCCTGAGTTCCGCCTCTCGAGCTCTTGCTTTCGAGTCTTGTTGCTCAGGAGGTTGCGACCGCCCGTGCCTATCGGACCCCGACGCTGCCGTTCTGGAGGCGATCTTGATGCCCTTGATGCCCGTGGTGACCACCGCGCAGCGTGCCCGACTGCCGGAGTCCGTGGAGTGCATGGGGCAGCGCTAAGCGGGAGGGGGAGCCTGAGCCGACGGAGGAGGAAGAAAACGCGAAAGTGGGACGGATGGATGGTGACGTCCTCAGTCTTGGGCAGGACTGTGAGGGCCCGCGCAGAATGCGAGCAGCAGCGCACGAGAAGCTGGCGACAGATCAGCGAGGTGCGTCTCAGTCGGCCGGCTCGTCGCCACGGCTTGACCTGGTATGGCTTCGTCCCCCACTGACGTGAGCGCCGTCACTTCGCAGGAGGGCAGCTGCCTGAGTAGCAGCGAGCACGGAAGGCATGCGGGCGGCTGCAGGGGCCCGAAGCGACTCCAGCAAGCGGTCGGCGTCACCGGACACTCGAAGGCGAATGATCGGCACAGTGTCCATCCAGAGTCCTGCCCTTGAACGACCACGAGCCGTGGTCAGAAAGTGAAACACCACAAGATCCAGCAGAAAGTTTGTACAACTGCACAAATATCAAATACACCATCAACCTACTCAGAACTGTCCGAGGCAGAGCGTCTGTAGCATCACATTTCACATGCCTCAGCGGCAGAGCATACTCTGCCGACAAAGCATATATTGTTCGCAATGTCGCGGGTGAGTTTGCTTCTGACTTTGATCGCTTCCCACAATGACACCTCGGCGAAGTTTTAGGTTTGCAAGTTTAACGGTCGTCTCAACTGTCCTATGGTCATTAAGGTTGGAATCACCACAAACATGTCAAAAACGTGTTTCAAATGGTTGCGGTGTGGAGAAAAACATCGGTTCACCTGACCGTGCAAGTCTACTTTAAGCAAAACACATGCGCGGTCAAGATCAACCATGACATGACATCGGCAACCAAAATCTTTTTTTTTGAAGCGCCGATTCTGCTGTGTTGTTCCGCAACAAGTGTCTGGACACTCTGCCCTGTACCCGGCATCCACACAAATGTTAGGACATCGTTGACCGGGGGGAAAGCGTAAAATGTCACGAACTTTTACCTTGTAGTTGGCAGCAGCTGCAGCAGCAGCAGCAGCAGCAGCAGGCCTTGGGGTCGAACAAGCTTGCCAGATTTGTTTGGCCTTCCGATTCTTGGATTCGTCGCTGTACACCCAAAATCCCGCCGCGGTTGCAGTGGTTCGGGGCGTTACATCAACAACGGCGGGGCATGGTTTATTCAGCGAAAACTTGGTCAACCCTTCTCTCAGCATTCCACTATGATACATTTCAAGCTGTTTTCGCTACATTCGCCGATTCTCGTTCCGTATGTCTGGCAGGATGGGACACGTGGTCACACAAAGGGGCAAACACGGCTGGCTCCACCGGTTTCCAATCAAGACGTCAAATATGGGCTCTTTTGTTCAGCGTACCTGTTTGTAAAAAACGGTTCCGCAGCACAACACAGCTGTCACTGTTCGAAGGCATCTTCCGGCTCTGTAACTACTCTGCGGTACGTTCTCACCGTGTAGCACTGAACAAGAGGGTACTTCTGCAAACGTGCGAAAAGATGTGGCAGAAGCACAGCCAGCACAGCACACTCTTGTTTTCTTGCGGTTTGCGATGGTTTGCGATAACATGCAGTTTTGCTGCCCTGAACTGACCCAATCCAAAATACAAGAAACCTGAATTCGAGAAAACTGCTGAGCCATCAAGGTCGAAGCAGCTTGCACACTCGGATTGGTGAAAGATGCAGCCAGTGGTCCTGCATGCTAGGTTTAGCCACGAACGAGCATCTTTGAGATTGTTTAGACTGGTTCTTTCAAACATGTTTACACATGTTTGCACACAATTTAGACTTGTGTAAACACGAAAATGCTTACGTGTAAGACGAAAGACACACACACACACACACGAACTAGGATTTTTAGATTTTTCAGATGCCCTCCTTTTACTGCGCCAAAAATTGATCTCGGGGGTGCCGGCCTTAGAATGGGCCAGGGCCCGGAGTCTTCGCCCGGGTGGCGCGCAGCAGGCGGGTTTGGGCATCCCAGTCGACTGCGGCGGCAGTGGAGGCAGGCCGGCGTCGTCTTTGGGCATGCAGGAGTCTGGCTGCGGCGGCACGCGCACGAGCAGCGTGTCCTCCCAAAACGCCCAGTGCGCGGCGCTGCGGTCCGCAGTCGCAACCCCCAAACCGCTCCGCCAGCTGGGTGGCATGCGAGATCGTTGGTTCTCACCTTGCTCGAGCCACGAGGCACAGCAAGCAATGCAGGTATCGTGTGCAACGGCGTATACAGTGAGGTGCGGCGGCAAGATGCACAGCGGATAGCTTGCCCGAACCCCGCCGCACAGCTTTGGAGGAGGAAGCATGATGAGACGAACTGCGGCTGCAAGCATAACAGTTGACAGGTTTCGTCCTAAACTACGTGAGAACGATGCGTCAGGTCGGCGCGTTTGCGCTGCAGTTCGCGCAGTACGAAATCATCGTGTCCGAAGGGTGCCGGGCAAGTGCCGGAGCTCAGACAGCATGGGCTGGCGACTGACAAGGTCCAATGTGCCCATCGACAGACGGGACAGTGCAGGGTCTGTGTCGGTTTCGAATTGGAGGCAATGGGCAGGCTAGAGCCTCAGTGGACAAAACAAATTGGTGGGGGCGCGAGGCTTCATCAATGTGCTGGCTGTACTGCATATAGGGTGTGGGCCACCTGGCGCTGAATGAAGTGCCACACAACGAGTCCACGGACGCAGTGGGCTGGTTTGCGCAGCGCAACGAAGCGCCCAAATGCGCATGGCCGAAGGCCAATGCGATCGAGGTGGAGAGTCGGGCGCATGCTAGCAGCAGCACGCCCCCGCTGCGCAGAATGCCTTTCCAGGAGCAAGCGTCTGATGTCGGCAATGATGCCACTCGGGGGCCGGTGCTGCTGGCCATGAGAACAGATCTATATGGCTGGCTGGGGCGACGTCATGCAGTTGCTGGACAAGCGGCTCGCTGAGCAGAGCGCGTCGTTGCCTGCGTTGGATCGCGCATTTGCTGTTGTCGACACAATTCTGGGCAAGGCGGCATTGCGACGTCAAAGATTGCTTGATTTCTACGTTGGATTACTCCAAACACTCGGATCCGGATAAATGCACGATGGCTGCCAATTTCATTTGCAATGCGGGATGAAAACAGGGTAATGTTATGTCAGTGACATAACAATTATGTCGGATTGTGTTGCCCACTTGATTCAACGCTGGCTTGGAACACCCAGTTTTTCTCACGGACCATTCCACTGTCAGAGGCAGTCAACACCTGCACTACATCCTAGCCACCACTACGGCTGCTATGGCCGGGACAGGGCTCGCCTGACGCCGGCTTTGCATTGCTTTGCCAACGGGCGTCTGTGGGGATCTCTTGCAAAGCTCTCCGTTTGCAAGGAACGTGGCTGGACTGCTGCAAGATGCTGCAAGGGCTCGCTGCGAAGCAAGCGGAGCACGCATGAGCACCCGCGCAGCCGGCAGTGGAAGCCGTGCAGTTGCAGGGGGAACGGCGCATGCTGCAGGCGATTCGGCGCTAGGTATCACGTCGGAGCATGCCCTGCCCGCGCAGAAACGTCCGAAGTCCTCCTATAGAACTTAGAAGGGCAAATCGTTCCGCGGCAATTGGTTGATACCACGGTCAGTGTGGCCGGATGCCGGCAAGCGCTGCCTTCCCAGGTAGGCAAACACTGCACGTGGTGACAGGGTCGTGGCCATGAGAGATTGCGTTTTGGTTTCCGACTTGTACAGGCCGCATGTCATCGTCAAACGCCGACGGTGCTGCTGAAAAGCTGAAGTTGAGGGGTCTGCCGCCCAAATCGCGGCGGCTTTACATCACGACGGTGCTGCAGCGCACATGCAAGGAAATTGTCCAAGCCGCACCTCTTGCAGGACTGAAGGATGTTTAGTGGAAATTGTCGTTGAAGGGTATGGGAGTCTTGGAGTATTCGTGGCAAAACCGCCAGAAGCTCACAGATCTGTTTTGTCTGGATGAAGCAATGGTTCGACTCAGTTGGCCAGTATGTACACTGCAGACGCGCCCAATCCACAGAGTCGAATTAGCACTACGTTTCAGAGCTATAGTGCACACATCCGACACATAGTTGGTGCCACACATCCGACGCCTGTAGGCAGCTGCAGGAGCTCGACGCTGGATTCCATTCGCCCGATGTCCGCTGCCCTCGCTTGTGATTGCATGGAGTCGCCATGTCGAGAGATCATAGAAGCTCGCTGGCCCGTCGGGATGCCGAGAATCCGAAACAAACGCAGCCCCGAAGTTCAGATTGGTTTGGGATGGCTCGAGGGGGTTCCTGAAGAGACCCTGGCATCCTTGCATGTGGATGTCGTAGAAGAGACCTTGAAGTCGAGAGCATCGGGAAGCGCTGCTCGTCACCCTGCAGGCTCGTCGGGCTCCAGCGCTGCTTTGAACTCCTGAGGAAAAAGGAGGGGCCGGCAATGTCCCAAAATCGGTGAAAGAAACTGCCTGTGACAACACGTTTGCAGCCGCACCCCTGTTGCCTCTACGGTGATGCGTCCATCGCCGTCTTCGTCTAGGGCCCGGAAGAGCGCTGTCAGCAGCGCTGGGAAGCGAGTTGCAATCTGCAGAGACGAAGCCTGGGAGCCCTGGAAGCCCAGCATCCACTCCAAACCCCGCTCCACATCCGCCTCAACACAAGACGTTGCTCAGAGCTCAGCAGTGCTGGGGACAAGACCACGACAACTGGAGGACCGGGGTGTGGACCGGCGCAAGGCTTCCGCAGCTGTGCGTATCCAGCAGATGGAACACGTCCGCCGGCCACAGCTGTCGTTCTGCCAAAGATCGGCGCAGCCGCTGCAACAGTGCTTCACTGGCCAAAGCCTGGAAGATATGGGAAAAACGACATGAAACCGTGAAACACATAAAAGGTCTGAAGCTCAGCATCCTAACCTCCCAAGCCTGGCCTTGAACTCGTCTTTCTCCAGAAACACTGGGCTGATGGGCAGCCTGCCGAAGCTATCAAATCGCTCAGCCCAATGCTCCGTGCTGCGCGTTGGCACAATGTTACGGACACCGCTTGCCGCATCTGTTTGTGCCAGCTTAGACGATTCAACCTGAGGAGGTGAGGCATCTTTTACCTTGATCGCAAACCTTTGCGCCAGATCGGCCTGAGTGTTGGGTTTGTAAGATTTGGTAGATGGGTCGGTCGGGGTGTGAGGTTGACAGCAGAGTTTACAGTCGGATACAGTCGGGTCGGATCTTGTGGAATCTCGAAGTAGACGGACAGACTCGGCAACTTACAGAAGAAAAGGTTGAAGCTAGTTGCAAGGATAAGAAAGCTGTCGACGCGACAACGGAGCAGCCACTGGGGTCTCTCTGATATATTCTACTATATGTCTCTGAGCGACATCGTGTGGCCAAGCCATAAGAAAGCACAAGACGTTAGCCGAAATCCCGACCGGGGACACATATCACAGGCATGAGGAGGAAACGTCTCAAAATGAGCGCCTTTGCCATGACTCCCTCGTACGCCGGCGGCAGCGCCGAAGGTCTTGCCACCACCTGCCGAGAAGCTGAAGCTGGCTCAGGCCGAGAGATCGCACAGAGGCTTCGGAGGCTCTTCGCGGAGTCTCCGCCTCAGACGCTTCTCGGGCTCTGCTCCGCGAAGCGCGCGGAGAAGCACCGGCAGCTGCGAGCGCGGCAGCAGGTCGCAGTTGGCGAAGTGGAAGCAATGCTCGGCTACCTGCAGAGAGAGTGGACAGAGTGGACCCTATAACGAGAAAAATCACAAGCATCGCAGTACTGCAGTGTGCGGGCAGCGCCTCGAGGTCGAAGCGGGGCGCGGTCGATCTTTGATTTCCGAAGTCGGCGAGCACGAAGTGACGCTCCAGGCCTCTCTGGCCCTTCACAGGCTCCTTTGGGCCCCCGGGGCTAAGGCAGCGGAGGGTGAGAAGTGGAGACGAGGGAGACGAGGGCTTGAAGACCTCCTTGTTCAGGACCTCCTCCCCGCGGTGGAGGGCTGCCCGCAAGTGCTGAGCCTCCTCAAGGCTCAGGGCGACGAAGAAACGGCCTTGCTGATAGCCATACAAGGATTGTGTGGCCACTCCGCGCTGCAAGGCATCGAAACTGCAGGACCTCAACTTTGCAGCGACAAGAAGGTGATGTGAGAGCGTCTGTTTGTGATCTGCCTTTCTGCTGCCTGGCAGCTCCTGCGAAGCTGTACCCCAAAGGCCAAGGGACTTGTAAAGCGCGGTCAGGTTTTCACCGGTTACTTTGTCGCCGGCTGTCTCGCCCCCATCCAAACGATGAAGCTCAAACAGCAGGCGCAGCCTTCAGATGTTGACACCAAGGCACAGGCGAGCTAGCATTTCTAGTCCATCTGCTACGATACGAACAGCTTCTTGTCCATTCAAGCAGCCACTCAATCTGTTGGCCGGAGAGTTGCCCTGGAATGTCCAAAGGCTGAAGCTGCTGCCGGTCTGGCACCCACCTTGGGTTCGCAGACGGAATCACATGGACACTTGCAGTGGCAACAGCTGAAATTTGAGATGTCGGCTCCAACACGCAGATAATGTTTCGTAAGCGCCGAGTTGACTGCATTCGCCATGCCTGCAGAAATTGCGGATTGAACAGGTTTGAAATTGGGGTCAGAAGCTCCGAGTTTCGACAAAGGTGGGCTGTTAGAAATTGGGCTCCAGCACTCTGTCCAACTGCAAGCTTTCTATCTGCTCGACTTTGAGACTCTGCTGTGCAAACGAGGTCTGATACTGTCCGTCGCTCAGGTATGGCCTTTCGATAATAGTTTTCACTGATCATCAGGAAGGGTGGCAGCTCATCCAGGAAGTTGCAGTCCCCTCCCAGCATGCCCCGATGAACTGCAAAGTCTGAGATTGGATAGAAGGGAGGGGAGGATCCCGACTTTGTCCGATTGCTTGGCTGGCAGGCAAGGCTACTGAGGTTCCAAGGTTGCTGTCGTTCATCTGCCCGAGAGAACTTCTCATTCGCCGGCTCCTCGGGGAGGCCCTCTTGCTCCTGCTCCTTCTCTTGCTCTTCCTCTTGCTCTTGTTCCTGCTCTTGTTCCTGCTCTTCTTCTTGCTCTTCTTCCTGGACTTGCTCTCCTTCCATTGCGTCATTCTTAGGCTCTTCCAGGAAATCAATCTCGCACTCCGGCGGCCAGCACTCGGCAAGCACCGCATCGGCTTCTGCACGCTCTGCGGGGCTTAGTTTTCGCTTGGAAATCTCCATCTGCAACTTCTCCTGCAGACTCGGCTCCTTACCTTGCACCTGGATCTCGACCCTTGGGGGCAGGCCGAAGAATTCCGGTCGGCTTCGAAGGTCCTCAAGGGCTGCCTGTGTGGAAACCGCGCGCAAGCTATCAACGGCACTCTTGTCTTTCGGATCGAAAACAGCCGCTGCCACGTTCTCCAGCTTTAATCGGGCTTTGCGCTTCCAAACATCGCGGAAGTTCTGCTGGCAGAGCAGCCGCTGCTTCCTGCACTCCTGGCGGATGCCATTGGCAGTGGCCCAGATAAGAACGTGGACCACCGGGTCTGCCTCTTTCTGGCGAGTGGGGCTTGTCGGCGAACTTGGGGTTAGAAAGTTCTCCAGCGTCACAGAAATACGGCCGCTGCTAGCAAGCCTAGAGGCCGTACAGGCCTTGCGACATTGGTGCACAAGCGTGGAAACTTCGGGAGTCATTAGCACAGAGATCTGCTGTCCAGCACCCAGGCCGCGCATGCGATATGCACCCTGGGCAAAATCTCGCAGTGTCGTATCCTTGCTCATGGTAAGGACAGCTCGCCCTGCAGGCGGCTGTTTGATGTCCATGCCGGTTGTGTGGACGTGGTCGTAGAAGGTAAAGCGCTGGGATGGTGCAAGTCCACACTGCGCTAGCTCAACAACCTCGGTACCCAAAACATCCCAAGACAGAGAGAGAGAGAGAGAGAGACCCACACGCATAAGCGGGATTGCCAGAGCAGGTTGTCAAATTGCGCGGAAGCACGGAACCCACGGGTGAATTTCCGAGCGAAGGGACCCTCCATCCATCACGAAGAAGGACAAGGCGTTCCCCACTCATGCTGAAAAACACCTGGCACAAGAAGATTCCGGAAAGCTCTAAGACTCTAAGTCGCCGTTAAGACATGCAGAGAGTGCGACACCTGCGAAGTCCTTTAAGCCAACTCGAAGTAAGTAGTCTGCCGTCTCACGGTTGCTCAGCCCCGTGACCAGAGCCTGGGCCAACCGCTTCCCGCTGTCCCTTTCTGCTGTGTTCTAGCCTCTGCGACTCAAGACGCAGTCATTATCAGGCCCGAGCCCGGCTGCTCAGTTTTCGAATCCGTTCTCCGCTCCCAACAACAGCAAAAGCAACAGCAACAGCAACCGCAATAAAAAAGAAGAAGAATCGCAAGCGGAACAGCAGCGTCAGAGGAACCAAGATATGTGCATCCCTCGATTAAACCGAGCCGAGGGGATCCAGGGCACTCCCACGTCGATGAATGCGTTGAAGCATGGGCCATTGACACCAGCGGCAAGTTCCAAGAGCATTCGGGGTGTCCAGTCAGCGTCTATCTCAACCACGTTGACAACGTCCGTGTTGGCCAAGGTTCCGAGGATGCGCCCATCCACGCCTTGAGCGTAACAGCATCTGCCCAAACGACTCGGAAGAAGATCGTTGGGGGTCCTGCGATGTCTGGCGCTATCCATACATGCATGATTGATGAGACATGCTTGCACCCTGAATCACTGAACAATGGCTGGGGTGGAAGCGCCAGAAGTGTGCCCTCAATGTCGCGGCTTGGTCTCGAGATGTCTGGAGTCTAGGGGAGGTTGAAAGCTGCTACGCTGCTACAGTAAAGGTCCCTTGGTTCCGGTCCCGCTGAAGCCGAGGCAGAGTCCGAACAGCTGCTCGCCAGCCAGGTCCTGGACCGGCACAGGCACAGGAGGGCGAAGGCAGGCACAGCAGTTCTCAGATTCTCCCGTCCTGGCCGGCTGCAGTCAGCTGGTGGTCGGAGACATCCACGGTGCCGACCCCCGGCTGTAGCACCGAGAGGAGGAATTGCTCCACGGCGCAAGGCTCTGCACGAAGGAGGCTCCAGAGCTGGGCCAGTTGCTCCTGCACACTCAGGGAGCTGACGATCGCTCAGGATGAGGATCAAAGAGTGGGATCAAGTCTTATCACTGAAGCGAAGGAGGTGCAGAGCTACGAGAAGAGATGCTGAGATTGCTTCGCATGATTTCGGGCGGCTTTGTGCCTAACTCGCGACGCGAAGCGTTTACACTTAAATCTTCGTTGGCGCAAGGCTTGTGTTGTTGGATCCGCGCCATCTGGAAACCAATCCGATCATTTCCTTGTGGAGGGCTATGGTTCTACAAGTTGCTCTGGGATGCAGCAAGTCAGCGCGGTCCGTGTCGTTCAAGTCCACAGCTTCCAGCGGCAGGATGGTCTCCATCTCCAGGACCTCTGCGACCTCCAAGGAACCTTTCTTGTCTCCAAGCCACTTGCCCTCTGCAGAGAATCCCCTCACACGTCCGCCAGCCTCACAGGAAGCGGAAGGAGGAGACTCTAACTCTAGCTGCCAAGTCGTCAAGGCGAACAAGGAAAGATGCCATGTGCCGTCAGACGCCTTCACCACGAGCTTCACGAAGATACGATTGGCCAGGCGCTTGTGGTAGACAACTCCGCTTTGGAGCTTCATGTCCGCCTTGCGATGGAAGGCGGTAATTTCACGGTGTCCCGCATGTCCCGCGCACCAGGCCTGGAGGGCTTGCATCAGCGCAAGGAGGTCACCGCGTCGAAGGCCTTGGAGCCTGTATGCCAGAATGCTGAAGCCGATCGCCACCTCTGCAACTCGGGAGGCCGTCTTCGAAAGGCAATGTCATGTTTCAGCTAAGAAGCATCGGGGTGAGAGAACTCCGCTTGCTCACTGGGCTGGTCCTCCAGCCCATTTGCGCTGTACTGTAGTGACTCTGACTCTCTATAATTGTCTATAATGTTCGAGTCTTTGGCCGTCCTTCCCGACGAAAGGAACTGAGAGCAGCTGTCGCGAACGAGGTCCACTCTCAGATGCCAGCTGCCTCATTATACACCGGGCCAAGGTTGTTGAGAAAGTGAAAGAGCTCTACACCGAGGACGCAACTCCGTCGAGAGGAGGCCATACGAAACGCGGTGCACCTGCGGTAGCATTGAAGCTATTGGAAGTACTCCACACCATTTGTGCAACGGGGCGAGGGCGAACCTTCTTCAGCAAGAAGGGCAGCAAGGAGTGCAGCCAACGGACCGCAAGGTTGAAGAGTTGCACGCCCGGCCCGTTCTCCCTCAAGCACAGAGCAGAAGCCAAGATGGTTTCAAAGAGCAGAGACATTCCGACATGGGCCAGGCCTTCTGAGCTGCTGGGCCACTATGGCATCCATATCTCGAGGTTGTCGCAGCACACGCCGCAGCTCTTGTGGGGTAAGCCTCGGAGAATGCGGCGGAAGATGCCGCAAAAGAGACCGGCAAGCTGACTCAGGACCCGGCCCAAGAGCACCATTGTGAGACTCCAGAAAGAGCGCCGTCCAGTTCGAAAGCCGTGGTAAGAGGTGAGACTCATAGAAGCCTTGGTGTGTCGTTCCATCGGAAGAATCGGAACGGGATTGGCCCGACATCCAGTACTCAGGCCACCACTCTGCGAGTGCAGCACCAAGTGCGGGCAGAGGCGCACATGCCTTGCCTCGCAGCCGACCTGACATGTTCGGCTGTTCGGCAGGCACAAACTCCGTGGCACAACTCTCGCCGGGTCGTTTCAAGTACAGCTGTACCCTGTCGCGCAGGTTTGGGCCTTAAGTTCTGCAGCCAGTTCCAGGAGCGAGGTGGCTGCCTCTTGGCGGTCGGCGAATGGGACAGCCATTTGCTTTCCCACCTGCCAAGCTTCCAGAACAAGAAGCGCAGTCAGCGCAGGATCCAAGAATCCAAGGCCCGACCTGCTCCGCTGTGGGCTCCGAGTCCGAGTCCGGAGCCTCCGCGAGGGCGCTGGCCACAAAAAGCGCATCCAAAAGGTGGAAAGGCAGCTTTCCACGGAGGCAGTTGTCGTGATCGAAGCGCGCGGATGCAGAGTTAGGATTCTTTACAGAATCCACGAGGTCAATGGCCCGCTTGGTGCCCATCGGCCAGTTTAGCTCGCTCTTCAACGGATCCAGCAGCAGGTCAACCTCTCCATCCGACCGACAGTGAGTCAACACCAGCTACGCCCCAATTCTGCCACTAAGACTTAAGCCTTACAGTAAGCCCTGTTTTCATGTTCTTTATCAGCCTCATCGAGAAGCAGCACGCTTCGATGGAACATTCGCAGGACCTGTGAGCAGGCGTGGGCTTCCGCTTCCAGGAGATGTGTCCTCTGGTTGTGTGCGTCTGTCTTCCACCAGCGCTTCGACGAGCCCGAGGTGAGTTCCTCCAGTTGGCTCAGCGATTGAAGGAGACCCAGCACCAAGCTCTTCAGGGATGTGGGCTCCGCTACCACGACTGCTTTCCCGTGTCTGGCAGCCTGCAACACCGCACGAAATGCACACGAAGCATGACAATCTTGCATTTAATTCTTGAATACGCCGTTAGATTTCATTACACGACATGTGCAATTCTTTGTGACCTCCAGTTTGTCGAAGAGCGCCCGATCGGCGTGGGAGGCTCGGCCGAACTTGAAGGAGATTACCGCGCGAGGAGCCACCGGCGAGGAGAAGCATCTGGTTAGCACCGAGCGTGTCATCTCCGCCAAAGCGGCCGGCATGCAAGAGCAGACCAGGGACTTGCCGTCCGCCAAGATGAGAGCCAAGAGGGGTGCTATGACCGTCGTCTTTCCGTCTCCCATGATCATTTGATGCGTCATCGAGCGACCGACCTTGGCGCTGTAGAGGAAGGCTCCAAGGATTCTCACCTGGGTCTCTCTTAACATGATGTCGAAGAGGAACTCGAAGACCAAGAGACGAGGGTCGAAGAGCACCGCTGCCCTCTTAGCTCGACTGTGGTGCCGTTTGGCGAGTAACTCCTCGCTCAAGGTCCGGGCTTTCAGGGAGACGATCAGAGCTTCGCTGCGCCGGCTAATCGCACTTTGAAGATCCAGCGCCTTTTCCATAGCCCGGGTCACTTGGCCAACTCTCACAATCAGGGCCAAGGCTTGTGCGACCTTCTCGAAGAGGCTGCTCAGCCTGTCCTCCTGGAGTTCTTGATTTGCTCTGTAGAGGGCATCGCTGCAGCCAGGCTCAGAGGCCATGAGGGCTGCAACCAAGCTGCTGAAGCTCACATGCACGGCTGTGCCACAGCGCCGCAGCAGCCAGTCTTTGGCGTTTCCGCAATTCGCTGCCTCCACGACCTCTGTGACGAGAGCTGTGGCTTCGCGCATGTCTTCCTGGCCTTGACCGCGAAGGGCATCCACCAACTTGGCCAGGCGAGCAGGCTGGACCACCTCTTGCAAGGTCTCACCGGCCACAGGGCTTGACAAGAAGAGGCTCAACTCGTCAAGCAGGCGGCTCAAGGTCCTCTGCGCGGGGGGCAAGGATGCAAAGCGGAAGTTCGGGTCCGCATGAGGGCCACAAAGCTTCTGCAGCCACAGCTTCAAGAGCTGGCCATTCGCGTCTCTCTTCTCAAGGACATCGTTGCTCCCCCCGTTGCTGGTCGACTGCAGAGGATCCCGGCCGAAACAGTCACTGACGAGCTTGGCAAGTGGACATGCTCCCAGGCACAACATACCTGCGGCCTTGGTCTCAAAGGCCCGGCTCGTGCAATTCACATCCTCTGTCAATGGGGGTGCCCATTGCCTGCGGTGGTTCAGATCCTCTGGATCGATCACAAGCTTGCCATCGACCCTCTGGAACTCGGGGAACTTCTTCACTGGCTGCAAGTACTGCTGACATTGCCGAAGGTGCTTGACTGCGTTCTTCAGCAAGCGCGAGGAGGAGTCGTGATCCACCTTGATCAGGGCGCCGACCTGCAAGGGCCCACAAAGATCGAATCCTGCATGCACTGCATGCTTCTATGAGATGCTTTCGGAGGTTGCGTGAAGTGCAGTTTGAGGCGCACCGACCACCGACCTGCCTGCCAGACGCGCTTGGCCGCAGCAGAGCCCCAAAGCGGCATCTCGGCGCGCACCTCCGGCGTAGAGTCGAGTGACCGGAGCACGGCCATCTCCATCTGCGTGGTGCTGTTTCCGCTGTTTCCGCTCTCTATGAGCCGCAGAAGAGCCGAGGCCAGGATGCTGGGCTTGTCCTGCCGCGACGCGACTACGGCCTCTGCCACTCGCTTAACGGACTTCGACAACACTCGATTCCTCACGTGTCCTCGGGCATGAGCTTCACTTCCAAGGTGCCCGTGAAGAGCTCATAGATGAGGAAGAAGGAGCCCCGGAAGGCCAACAAGCCCCCGGTGCTGGCGCCTGCACGGCCGAAAAGCGCATCCAAGAAGCGCAGTGCCGCGAAGCCCTCCACCACCGGCCGCTCTCCCTCGGGCCTCACAAACGCGGTGACAGGCTTCACCTCCGTTTAGATTTATAGTCAAGAGGTTCATGCGCCTGCTGTACGTCAACCCCTGCATGGAGCAGGCCATTCGCTGAAAAAGTCCCACCTTGCCAGGAGCCAGCTGGTCGCTTACAGTTGACAACTCCCCGTACTGTACTAGTCAAGGACATACTGGAGGTCGCAGTGCGATAAGCATGGCACAGAGCCAGACAGATTGAACACGAAGTTCAATGGCTTCATGTCTGCCCGTCCCGTCTGAATGCTGTCCAGGGAATTTCAGTGCTGGCGCCAGTCTAGTAATGTCCAATGGCAAAGTGTGACGCACGGCTTCCAACATTTCCAACTAATTATGTAGACAGTAGCCCGACGTTGAGGCTGTGAATGCTGTGATCGCCCGCCTCGCCCAGCACCTGCCGGTAGGCCACGCGGTCGAATCCCGCGTCCTCCCGCTGAGGCCCCAGAGGCGCCGTCATGGACTTCTGACTTCCGGAAGCTTTGGCAGCCTCGACTTGGCACCCTGGAAATCTATGTATGCGGAGCTGGGAAAAAAGGCGCCGAGCTCCGGACAAGGAGATGCTCCAACATCTCACGACGCGTTGCGAGCAATGGCAGGGCAGAAGCCTGGACATCAACGTCGCTGACAAGCGCAACGAGCACCATGGCAGCACCAGTGCTGGTTGCCCTAAGCTGCCTGGCTCATGACCTCCGGCAGGTTCTGCAGCACTAGCTCCCCATGTGCTGGCAATGCGCAGGTCGCCGAAACCAAGTGCCTGAGGGTCTTCAGAGAAAGCTTGCTTTACATATAGAAGATTATACAAAGGTTGCATAAGGTTGGTAACTGTAGTGCTGTATGTAGGCTTTCCGTAGTTCCGGCCTCTTCGAGGAATACTCCAGGAGCTGCTTCACCACATCCCAGGGTGGCCTTGCGTCCTTCCCGAAGGGCAAGCTGGCGAGGGTCAAGTGCAAACGGCATGCCACCGCATCGGCATGGCATTCGCCCTGCAAGACGCTCAGACCTGCCAAGACAAAACAAAACAGGCATGCTTCTGCACGAGGCACGGCGCTGGGCCACTGGGTCTCCGGCATTCCCACAGCTGCCTTTCTTCTGGTCCAGACACTTCCGAAATCGCACTTGCCATGGCAGCCACCTCTTGAAAGTGCCAGGTCAGGTAGCGGCAGAGAAGAAGATAGAGCGAGGCAGCTGGTGTGGGCGTGAAGACCATCATCCCGCAACGGTGCAGCGGGTAAAAGTAATACCGCGAGCCTGGCCAGGATCAAGAAAGATCAAGCGAGCACGCACAGGACTCCTCTCTTGCAATCTCTGCCTTCAGCGAGGTTGGCCATCCAGGACGGCTTGCCCCGGCGCAGCACTAGCTGGCCCGGAAGGAACCGTTCGGCGGGACTCAGCGAATCCGCCCTCTCCGCCCAGGGCCTCACGGGCTCGGAGAGCGCCGAAACCAGAACCGAGAGATCTCCAGCAGCTGTCTCCAAGACCACGGTACCACCACCCCATTGTGCAACGAGCTGGTGGACAAGGTTGGATGTGAGCTGAGGCCTCTCCAAGATCCTCAGCGAACTTGCTTTTTGCTTGGATCACTCAGCGTTATGCTCGTGCGCAAACTCCATGTAAGCAAAGCATCCAGTATCCTGCAAGCTGATCGCAATGCAGCCTGCCATCCTGCATCGTAAATGACAGCATCAACCTCGGCATCTCGACGCGATGCACTCCACCGGCTCCATCAGCCTCGTGACGCAAAGAAGGGCCCACGATGCCAAGCAAGTATTTGTCAGATTTAGCTGCCTGGTGCACGCATGCAGCAGACACAGTTACCTACAACAAAGAGTCTAAGCCTGACTAACGTTCTCATGGGCCATATAAGGCTTACAGCAGTCTCTACGGCGTACGGACAAATTCGTCCATGATGCACTCCGGCTCCAAACCAAGATGTGCGACAGATTCTCCAGGCGCGTGAGCAGGTTGGTCAATCCACACATGCCTGATTTCGCGTTGACCAGAAACTCCGGCTCTTGCCCCAAAAGCCTGCGGGGCGCAGCAGTGCTCCCAAACGAATGCGTTGAAAACAAGAAGCTCCGCAAGCTCCGAAGGGCAGAGGGAGCCCGCGGGCCTTCGCCGTTCCACCGTGGCCAGCGCGGCCTCGAAGGCGCCCTGAGTAGAATGGCCCGGCCTCGTGGGCAAAGATGATGCGAAGCACGTGGCGGCTCTTAGAAACACCGGGGGATACCGGGGGGAGCTCTCCTATAGAATTGAGTTGTTTGTGAAGGCTAAGAGGCTCCCTCTTCAGAGTCTTCACCGGCGTCATTTTCACACGGAGCTCCGTTGGTTGGTCCGCCACATCCCGCTCTTCACCGACCAGAAGCTCTCCAGTGGCCTTCACAACACCAATCCGAACGCCACAAGAAAGCCCACAAGGGACCCTATATACAGACCCCATAGCCCTATACCTATATAGCCTATGACAACCCCCCAGCCCGACATTGAATAGAAGTATGGCCTCCTGGCTCCGCCAGAACTTGTAGCGGTCCAGCAGTGCGTCAGGGAGCAAGCCCTGGAGGATGTCCTGTGGGATGTACTCTTCCTGACCTCAGAAAGTCAGAGTCAGCCTCCAGGTGGTGTGTTTAACGAACTTCCTACTCCGAATTCATCAACACATGCAGAGCCGTCGAGGCGCCGTGGGAGCCGGAAGTTCGGAAAATGCGCACCGAACCGGAGCCTCTTCCGGAGGGCGCGAGCACGGAGCCCTTGCCCAAGCTCCATCCTGCGATGAGGGGAGGGACAACGAGCAAGGGAGAAGCTGCCCAAGCACATAATGACATAATGCAGTCCTGCGTTTGGGCTCGAGTACATTGGAAGCTCTTTGCCGCTGGGACTGTGGAAAGACCAGACCATGTCCGAGGTGAAAACCAGCTTTCGATGGACGTGTCGACCACGACTCACGAGATCATACATCTCCGTGTAAGCGGGACTCCTCCAAACGGCGATCTCCTTGATGAGGCTCTGACTCTCTTTCGGGACGCCCAACAGCCAGGCATCCGGAAAAGCTGGCTTGTCTTGCTTGGAAGCTTGGTAGTACAAGACCATGTCGCCCAACTCGAGCTTGGCCAGCAAAGGCTCGAGGACCTCGTCTCAAGATGCGCAAGCATCTGATGCCTTCTTGTCTTTCTACGAAGACTCGCCCGGCCCTGCCCTCCATTCCGACACTTACGGTGGATCAGGACAGAGACGGAGATTGAATTCCTTGCTCATCCCTACTTATGCATCTGCAAAGACCGAAAAGTAGACAGGAGAAGTGTGGCGTTTAAGGCAACTGTCGCCGACAGCCCTCGAAGCAAGCAAGGCAGGCGAAGACAGCCCAGAAGAAGACAAGACGTCAGTCGGCACGGCAGGACAAAATTAAAAGGGCGCTTGGCTCGCGAGGCACGTTTGCAGGCTAAGCTCTGAACAATGCTTCTAGGCTTCTAGGCTTCTCGCGAGCTGCGACCTCCACTGAGCGCCAGGCCTCTGCTAACCAGGCCGGCTTGTCCCCAACTTTCTGCAAATTCCGAGTGTTGAGCCACTCGGGCAAGCCATTTTCGTCCAGCCTCTCGGCATCCCAGCAGTGCACCTCCAGCCATGGAGCACACCAAGGACAGCATCTAATCCCATCCCTTCACGCAATGGCTGCACTGAGCTTAGCTCCTCGAGGTTTTGGCCCACCAGCTCGTAGCAAGTCCGGTGCAAGGTCTCCTCTCGTAACACCACTTGCATGTGCTCCAGGTTCCCGCAGGCCTGAAAGACACGCACACTGCGTCCCCCAGGTCTCAAACAGCGGGATATGGGAAGGGCATGACTTGCAGGCCTCAAGTAGATGCGGCGATCTCAGCGCATGCTCCGGCAGCAGCTGGAGGCCAGCGTCGCGGCAATGGTAGCGGCCCTGGTTCACGGAGACGACAATGTCGGCGCCACCCTGGGAGGCTTGGTGGTAGGTCCGCAGCAGCCATTCCCGGTAAGACTCACCGGGCACGGCTTGCTCCTGGCTGCCCTCTGTGACCGGCCTGGAGGCCCAGTTCCCAGGCTCGTTTGGCATCTCACGCCAAGATCGATTGGCATCCGGCAAAGTGATATCTGCGGTGCCCTTGCAGGTTACAACCCGCTCAACGTTCTCCATAGCAACGGCTGCTTCTTTGGGGTGGGCCCGCAACCACGATGCCAGGGGGGTGCGCCAGCGCTCAAACACATCAAAAAGCTCGAACTCACCTACCCCCAAGAGGTGGGAACTGGGTGAGCGCTTCGTCGCTGGCTTGAAGCTGTTCATGATCACAAAGACCTGTGAAGCCAAGAACACAGAGACCTCCCGCACAGTGTCCGGCCGATGGTTCTTGAAGAGGAAGGCAATATGGGCGTGCACCCGAGCAGCTATGTCCAGCTTCCGGGGCTTGCGCTTTATGGCCTGGCAGGGGAGATCGAACGGGCAATTACTCCTTTTGAATCAGAGGCCTGATGTCTCAACTCTGCCCGATTGGCCTGAGAGGCCCACTGGAGCATCATCTCCAGAACGGCATTGCGCAGAACACCGCTCAGCCGCTTCGTCCGATCCTCCAAGCTTTGGAGCTTGTCCTTTCGCGGCGCCACTTGCCGTGCACCGGCTCCAGTCGATGCACCGCGGGCCTCACGTTCGAGTGGGGCTCGGACTGGGTTCCTTTTTGACTTTCGGCGGCTCTGAGCTGCGGGCGCGCTGAAGCACCAGCATCGCGTGGGATTCGACACGCACCGCGAGGCGCACAAGGAAGAGGATGAGGCCTTCCCTTCCAGTGCCCGGTCGACCCGGATCTTGCTCGTATGCAAACTGCAGAAGCTGCAGAACGGAGTCCAAGACGGGTTCCGGCGAATACTGGAGCTCGTTCAGCAGCAGGCCAGCTCTCGTTGCCGGCGCAGACACACTCTTGGAGGGAACTGTGGGAGGCGGCCCAGCCAGCGCCTCCTGATACGTCAGCCACCTCACAGGACACAAACCCAACGCCCACAAGTCGAAAGGCGAGACCGTCCGAGCACAAAGCCTTTGAAGATTGAGGTTTTGCCATGAATGCAGCTGCAGGGGCGGGCCGGGCTCAAACAGGACGGCGTCCAGCACCGCCTGTGACCCGCAAAAAAAAAGAAACCCTCTGATCTCTCTGCGCTCAGCAAAGGACGGGAGATGCTTTTCAGCGCTCCGAAGCTCAATAGAAGCCCGACAAGTGCCACTTTCCACGGGAGGGCCTGCAGCTGTGGCGCTTGCAGCAAGGTCATGCGCTGCTTGTCCGAGAAGAAGTTCAGCACCAAGGGAATCCGGACGTAGGGGGCGACGAGGTAGGTCAAGAGCAGCTCGCTCTCAGAGGCCTTCAAGCTCCCTCCGAAGCAGGGTACAGACTGCAAAGCAAGGATGTCTTCCTCCGTCTCCACCGCCGAGCCCGCAAGGAGACTTGGGTTGGCACGACTCAGGGCCCGGAAGTTGGAGGAGTAGTTCTCAGCCTGTCCGCCTAGCCAGCGCTTCAGGCCCCTCAGCCCTTGCCAGCGCCGGCTCTTCCACCACGCCTTGAAGCCTCACCAAAGGCTAAAAGGAAAGAGAGAGGAAGAGAAAGAGAGAGAGAGAGAGAGAGAGAAAGAGAGAGAGAATGGTTGGGAAGTGAAATATGAAGAGGCGTTTTTCTGTGACATTAATGATATACTGTTGCCCAAGGCGCTGAAGCTCTGCGTGTTTGGCAGCACGGCCTCGAAGCCATGAACGACGAAGGCCCCGAGTTCTTCGGTGCCTTCTGATTTCTTCCCCTTCTGCCAGCGCCAGACCAGGGGTGCACCGAGAGCGGCCGAGATGTCGCCACGTGGAGATGCCTCGGAGAAAGAGGCTTTTTCAACACATGGGTAGTTCTCTAAATTAGGGTCCCTTTTTGGGTCCTTAGTATAATAAGGCACCTATTATTTAGGGTGCCCCAAAAGGGACCCTCATTTTGACAACTACCCACATTTGCGTCGCCTTCCGGGCTCGTGCTATAGCGAGGTGCCTTGTCCGACTCGTCGTCAGCGGGTGGCAGGAGCAGAACCTTCCACAAGAACACGGCCTGCAGATGACCCACCAGCGAACGAGTGGATCGGCAACAATGCTTCTTTCATCTGCAAGACTGTGTTCTGTTCAAGCATTGATTGCAAGGCAAGACACGTCACGGAACCAAGCCAACTCCGGATAGAAGTCCAACAGCTGGGGCTGCTCTCCACTGAGAAGAAGATGCCTGCATGAGAAAATAGATACAAGATGAAAGATCTATGTTGCTCTGGTTTGCCAAACCAACGACATCTGAATTGTGCAAGGAGACGCCGATGGCCCTGCCGACTCCAAGCCGATGCTGAGCCCAAGCTGTTCTACAAACAAACCTGAGCAGTGAAACCGGGACGCTGCTAGGCAGATTAGATCATGACACCCCTTCATTGGCACTGCAGCCATGCTCGACTAAGCTCCAGACGATCAGCTGGGCCCAAAGCCATGCCCTTCTCAAAGGTGAAGAGGTATTGTGTCTCGTGCTCTTGAGTTTCTTTGACCCGTGTTAGTTGGCGGAAAAGCCGCTTCGCGTTCATGGAGCCTCGAGAGCTTGAGGTTGCCAGAGTGGTCAAGCTTTGGAAATAGTCGAGGACCTGAGCCCGGAGCAAGGCCAGCTCGGGCTGGGGAAGCAGAAGGGCTTCAGAGGTTTCACGAAAGGTGCTGGAGTCCAGCAAGAAAGGCTTGCAAGGGCTCTGGTGTCCGCCTGCAGCCCCGGAGTAGTGCAAGGAGATCAAATCTCCGTGTCTCTCTTGCACCGCGACTTGTTTGTCCAGCAGGTCAATTGGACGTCGGAGAAGGGCATCCATCATCACCACCAATGCAGCAGCGACACATGTTCGGGCCCCGTCTGTCTCCCTCGTCGCACGCAGATTCTCGGCAGACGCAGAAAAGTAGCGCGAGATGAGGTGCAGGCTGCGCAGCAGATCTCGCTTGGTCTCCAGTGTCAGAGCTTGCCCTGCCCAGAAGCACTTGTCGGGCCAATAGTCGTCATCCAGGGGCAGGGGCATTGGCAAAAGCCTGCAGACCAAGTGAACCACCAGAGTAAAGCAGGACGCAGAAGCCTGTGGCAACCGGTCCCTCTGGTTCGACATCAAGGCCACCATGCTGCTCACGAGCCTGCAGCACTCTGCAGCCTGTCAAATCAAACAGTGACGCGGTGATGCACTGCGAACATGCAAAGCTCGAAACTGTCGCAACGCAACGGCGGCATGGCCTCTGTACAGTTGTTGATCTGCGTGTGCAGGGCTGCAGGAAGGGAAGGCAGGATCAGAGTGCCATGTCTGGCCTCGCGAAGTCACGGGGGAGCCGGAAAAAACATGCGCATTCCGACGTGGCGTAGACGTGGCACTCCAAGACGAATATGATTATGTATAAGGAACTCTCCCCGGCTAGGGAAGTAGCCCTAATAAGTCTAAGGTACCCTCCCCACTTTGCCTGGCAAAGGAGACGGCTACAAAGGAAACCCCGGGCCCTTGCCTCGCCCTTCAGAGCTTCCACGTCTTGCGAAAGAGTTCGGCTGAAGCCTCCGAAGTGACCTCGGAGCCCAAAAAGGCCTCACAGTTTGAAACGACTAGAAACGGAACGTTCTTTGCAGCTATCATCTTACTGCGGCCCGGGTAACAGTCTTGTCTGGAAGCTGCGCTCCAGAGGTCCTCCCAGAGTTGCGGAGGCTGCACGGAGCGGGCATTTCGCTGCGAGTGCTCCATTGCGACGGCTTTCCTGTCGGCCGCTTCGATGACCGCTTGAACCTCTTCGGAGAGTTTCAGCCGCCCCTTTTCCTGCACCTTCGCACTCTGAGCCGCAGCACGGGCCAGCGAGGACACGCCCACACGGAGTAAGGCGAACTCTGCAGGCGCGGGAGCTCGCAAACCCTGTACAGCCAAGGCCTCCTGCATGCACTCCACCAGCGCACGGCGCAACCCGACGGAGCTCCACCAGCCGGCATCGCTAGGCTCCAAACCGGATAACACCAAAGCAAAGCGGACGCTCCGCTCCACGCATAGCGCGAAGGACCGATCTCCGGCCACAGGCACAGGGAGCTGCTCCGTCCAAGACTGAGGTCCAGTGGTGCCGGCGCTCAGCGGCCTCTGGTTCAAGAACGGCAGCAGGTGGCCATACATGGCTTCTGGTCCTCAGAAATGCAGAAAGCTCGAGAGCGTGCTGCGGCTGCTACAAGTACGACTGCTACAGTAAATTGCTCTGAGCGATGACATGTCTGTGACCAACTCAGCACAGCGCCATTCTCGGGATCCGGGTGGAGGATCTGGCGGTAGAGGAGGTACCAGAGTGCGCTGCTGCAAACTCGTTCAATTGGGATGCTGGTGAGAACGAGCGGGGACTGGCGCAGTGGCATCTCGGGGTTCGGCTGAGCCCTCGACAGGCTGGCGGGGTGGTACTGCAGGCCCTCGCCGGTGTTCACGACACCCAGAATGAACTCTTCCGCCTCGAAGGACCGGAAGAGCACCAGGAGCACTGCATGGCCCAAGTCACTGCAGCCGGCAGTCGCCCTTCGCCGCAACCAACCACCTCAGAGAGGGGCATACATTCAGGGCACTCTATCATGAAGCTGGCGTGGTGTCCGGAATCTGGGCCTGCAAACTGGGCCGAAAACCTCAACAA